CAGATGGGGGGCGACTCGACAAGCCTCAATGAGGTGAGCGGGAGAGTATCTTAAGGTTGACCACATAAGATACAAAATAGGTCCCGAATTGTGACTATTGAAGAATTCATTTGTCAGGACACCATCGTTGGTGATACAACCAACTTGGATGTCGCCACGATCAGCTTCCTTAATGACACTTTGGCTGCAAGGTCTTTAAGAATACCTAAAAACAAAGTGAGTGTGGAGAAGGGAAAAATACGGAAATTCTGGGAGAAAAATTCGGGAAATTCTTATTGGCTTCTGTACACTTCTGCCGAATTTATATATAAACTCCCGAGCTCAGCTGAGGAAAACAGACATACATTCCTACGTACGAATTCTGTTCGTACGAGAGTTTTTGAAAATTTCTCGCAACTATGGGATGCCCAAGATGTCCTACCATAACTTTCACTTCCTCCAAGTTTGACAAATGTGCAGGATGCGTAAATGCATCGAATTTCAAGTATTTGGATACATCGGAGTTTCACCTGTGATATGAAAAACGCTTGCGAGAAACGCACATGAGCAGTGAATATCGTATAGAATACGTAATGTGTTTCAAGTGATATGAGGTGATTTTCCGGGGTAAATCGCGAAGCGTTTTTAATTCGTATCATATTGCCTTTTGCTTATAGAGTATTACGCCACTTCAAGTGATACGGGTGAAACTCCATTGTTATATACAATGTTTTCGCATCCGAAAATCTCACTCATTCATGTTGGACATACCCTCGAAACATCCCTACACCTCTTTTAGATTCAACTATCAACATTAGAGTATATATCATATCTTGGCATAGACTTGGTTATTGAACCCGAGTTAACATGGTAAGTTTAGTCCTACTCATTGTAAGGCTAATGCTGATAGTAGGGTGGCAAGAGAGATGTGTGCTGCACCGATGCCACCTCAGGCAGAGATGATAATCAGCCACAACAACATTGTGTGAGTTGTCGATGGTGCGGTATTGGAGTTCAAATACTTTTTGTGTTTGCTTTCCTCAACTGAGTTCACGAGCTACTAAAACTACATCATATAAGTAACATATAAATTCGGGTAACAGCATTTCCTGAAATTTCCTCTCGGAATTTCCATATTTTCATCATCATCACCAACACATGTAGTCAGCTCGCTGTGAAGGCCACACACGACTTAGGTATTTTCATGACATTGAAAACGACTATTATACTTTGGAGCACCCTTTGACGAACCGTTTCCTGAAAGTGTTGGAGCATCAAAGACTCGATATTATCGCGATGAGAACTCGACCGAGTGTCAACAAGGTGGGGATAATTTCGTGGCGTGTGACGGATTTTCAATTTATGTTTCCTCAGCTACTGCTCACTCAACCTGATGTGATTTACCATAGTAGATTTAGGAATCTGCAGTTGCCTTGTCAAGATTGCGGAGTATTGCAATCGACGGTGAAGTGTGAACAGTGTGTGAGTTTTGGAAGAGCGCGAGTTATGGTAGAGGAATATAATTTTGGTTTCAGGAGTTTACATACGAATTAGAGTCGACGTGCATAGGAAAGCAATTAAAATTTCCTGTTCGCTGCCATTTACACGCGTGTATATTTTCCCAAAATTTTTGAGAATTTTCATGTTGTCACCAAAATATGTGCATATTTTCCCATCGTATTAGATGCAATCTTATTGTCAATCTTGCTACACTATTCTGCACGATTCCACGCCTGGACCGAGGAAAGGCCACACGACGATTCCTACAGCGATGGGCTCGCTGTGCTCGAGTTGTGGAAATAAGAAACCACAAGTAGGGTGGGATAAAATATTTAATAAAATTTTCGACATTATTTGGTTATTTTTTTGTGATTTTTTGGTGATTTTTTGTGTTTTTTTGTGATTTTTTGTGATTTTTTGTGATTTTTTTGTGGTTTTTTGACCGACTTTGGGGATATGATGTTCGAAATTGACTGAGTGGATAAAAATCGCTAAACTCATTAGACTCCAAACTCTAAACTAAAATCATTAGAAAATTTTTCGTAAATTTACAATGTGTAGTTATTTCAGTTTTACTACTAAATATGCTAACTTGATAGCGAATTGTGAGTTCTCCGCAAATGCTACATATGCGTAGTTGTGAAATAGAATTTAGGCTGAACTTGTCTTCTGTTTTCGGTTGTGAAACGTCGTTACTATCATTATCGTGGGGCCTCGCAAAAACAGCAGTGTCGGAGGAGTAGGAATATATGTACGCTTCCCTCAGCTCAGCTCGGGAGTTTATATGCAAATTTGGGTAGAAGTGTACAGAAACAAGTGATAATTTTCCGAAATTTCTTCACAAATTTCATATTGTCATCAACATATGTAGTTGACCATGTGCATACAGGTCATTAAAGAAGTCTTAAAATTGGTAATTGCTTGCTTCGCATAGTATGCAAGGTTAGGCATGAAAATTTTGGGAAAATTTTGAGGAATTTCTGACGGTTTTTCGTATATTTACATTGAAAGAAATTAG